ATTTAAACAAAATTACTTTACTAAAGTAATTACCCAAAATTGAAAGATATATGGTAAAATTTTCTATTTATATTTTATCAATAATATTTTAATTAAGCTGTTATAAATGTCTAATTTCACATATTAAATGAACAAACGATTATGCACCTCGAAATATTTGTAACATTGATAATGAAAGAGGGATGCGATTATACTATTTTCTATTTATTTCATTCTTTCATAAAAATTTACTTCACTTTGAATACTATATATGTTTCAAGGCACTACGAAAAACTAAATGGAACGAGGCTATAACTTTCTTTTTATAAATAAAGCAATATTTAATTCTCTATTGCTTTTCACACTTGCGAATGACTGGCTTGTCTCAAATTCGCTTTATCTTTCACCAGTAATTATTTTATAAAAACATAATATTTAAGTATGCACATGACGTGAGATATATAATGTCATTTAAATTTTTGGAACCGAAAAAGCTGCTGGTATTTCGAAGTTAGTGGCTCATAAAAACGATTGCTAGCGTCTGATTCAATATAAGCGAAGAAAAGCAAGTTGCGCTGTTTGACAATTTAAACATCATTTCATAGGAGGCAGAGTTGTTCCAGAATGTTGCGAAGACAAGAAGATCGTGGCCTGAGTCGAAATGCGAATATCTTGTATCCTAACAGCATCGCAATGCCCTGAAGCGGCACAGATACGGCAAGGAGATTTCATTTTGGTTTGGCGTCAAACAGCTCTTTTTTCTCATTTTATTCGGTTCGTAAACTCACCATCACACGCTCCAGATCACATAAGATAAAGAACCTTTGACGGCCTTCATTTGACTACGTATGTTCAACCTTCTTTCTCATCCCGGATTGTTATCTCTTTTTAATAACACAAGAAGTAACAGCCATTATTTGAGTAACTGTAATATAGGGAGTGTCGCAAAACTCACATAATTGTTATTATACATGAATGTTTCATGAACTCGCTTTTATAATTATCCATATGAAATGGAATAAACCATTGTTTTCATTTTACCATTTTTTCATTTAACCATTGTTCTTTTTTACGAAATGGCAGAAGTAATATTAATATCGTTATACTATTTAAAATTTAAATGAGTATGGGAAAACGAATTGGTGAAATTCACAACCTTATTCAGGAATATATAAATTATATGCTTTAAATGTTTAGACACATTACAGAATTCGGCACAGAAATTTGATCAATAATTAACGAGACGACAGTATTTATCATTATAAAATATCAAAAAATAATCAATGTTATAATACGTTAGCTTGAAATTTCTAATTATAATAAAATGATATCCTGAAACAAACATTATAGGCAAAGTTGCTTTCTTTTTTATACATCAATAATTACAGAAATTTAGAATTAGAAATTAAAAAATTTCTTTCATACAGATCAATGTACACACCAACAAATTTGTTGTTGTTTATATAAATTAAGAAAATATTTGTTAAAAAAACTACATGTACTTTCCAGTTTTATTATAAATCATTAAATATTATAATATCATTAAATAAAGGAAAACTTTCAATTCTGATATTTCTTTTCATTTATGTATTAAATCTTCTTATTTTCGAATATATAAAAAAATATGTGCATTGTATATAGCGTATAAGTAAATCACAAAAATATTTTTTTTTAAATTACATCAACTAAAAATGAAAATTAATTAATTGATTATCATGGATGATGTGCTAAGATTTTTTATCTCATTGTCTTTAAATGATATGTTTTGCATAGTTATATGAAACATATAAATACTGAATTCTGCAATATTTTAAATTGAAAATAAATAATTTTTATATAATTTTAGTTATTATATTATATTTTCATTTTCTTTTGGAAATTAGCATACTTTTACAAATAAACACGTGCATGTTTATTCATACGACTGTAAATAATTTTATCTCTGATATAAAAAGAAGTTAGGGCTTTGAAGTTTTCAAAATTCAGAATATATCTTTCTAATTAATTTAACGAATCAAATAACACATTTTATTTTGAAAATTTCACGTATTGTTTATATACATTATATTATAGCGATTTTTAAATAGTCATAATAGATTATTAATAACAAATTTTATTTTATATAATTCTTTCTAAATATTTTGTGCGACCAGTGTTTAATAAAAATACATTAATGTATATAATATAAAAAGAATAAATATTTATAAAATATAACTTATGATATGTCGTAAATGTATAGGGCAAATGCAATTAATTAATAAAATTATAAGCTTCTATTAATAATATTCTAAAATAATATATTTAAATATATATTCTTATATTAAAAAGATCTTACCATTTAAATATAAATTTAAATATAAAATAAGAAAAATAACCATCTAAAGTTTTTAACAATGTATCACTTCGTTTAAATATAAACTTTACTGCAAGCAAGTTGGTTGATACAATAAATAAAAAATGAGATAAAAATGAACATATCGTCACAACAAATTGCATCGCGTCTATATTCGTGCGTAACACATAAATCGCTCTCATTATGTGGGTCATTAAATCTGACATATTATTTGAGATAATCATTTATTTTTGAGTATCTATAATCAAGTACGAGCTGACAAAAAAAAAGCTTATGGGACAAACGAATGCAGCCAAGTAAGAAAAAGTACCTGTTGGAAAGTAGTAGATCGCTATATTGAATGTATCGGTGGAAAATCCAAGGATTTTAATTTAAATCACATTATTATTATTGAACACGCGATTAAAATCAAGGATAATATTTGATTTCAATAAAGTTCCGTGTATGAGTGCATGTAACTATGTATTATTGGTAACAAGCTTTTGCTGCATCATTTTCTTCGAGGTTGCGCTGCAAATTTGGTGTTTCTATATCCACTTTTAAAATTGTTTTACGTTTGTCGATGGTCGTTATATTTTTCTTATTTATATAATTTTAATCTTTGATAGACAATGAAAATATTTCAATACTTAATTGGATATAAATATGTACAAATGACCTAATATATGCCTAATCATCTTATAATTAATACAATAATAAATTTCGTGAATGAAATATAGACTTTTTGTAAATTTAAATTTTACGAAAAAATTATATAATTATTTTTTTATCCAGCATATTAATACTGGTTAAATATTAGTAAACTTTTCTACAAAATAAGATTTGAGAAAATTAGGCACAGACACAATGTATTTAGTTTATATAAAAGACTGAAAATCATTAAAACATTTGAATGCCTGGATGCATACATGTATTAACTCCCACATATGTACAGTTTTTATTGCGATAAGAACCTCGAAAAGAAATTGAAAGAAAAAAAAGAAGACAAAAAGAAGAATTGCGTAGCATAGAAACAAACGCTTGTGTAGCCTTATTTTCTATACATATTAGATGAAAGCGCTTATTGTATCGTTGCAGTATTGCGTGATGGAAATATGATATAATTTTTACCCCTCTTCTTCACTTAAAGTCAAAGAAAATTTCGTCCATTTGAAATGTTCTGCAGTTATTATGAAACAATATGATAAATCGTCTTGATTACATTTATATCTCAATTGTTCTAAGCAGCCGAATAATTTTCAACGAGTGTTTTCACCTGCGTTTCAAGAGTGACTAATTTATTTCATTCATATTATAGAAGCAACAATGCAGGAATAACAGCAACTATTACATATTATATATATAACGGTAATAGGCAACAGTAGTACTTTAAAAAATTATAAATTACTTAGGTTATACACAATTATATTTAATTTTTCTAATGACCTTAACTTTCAATAATATTGAGTATATAATATATTTGGATTTTTCAAATGAAAATAAAATAACTTATTTATTAAGAAGTTAGTTAAATAAGTATTTATATTTAAAAATTTTGAAAATTATAGAAAATCTTTTTGTGATATTTTGTTAATATTAAAAAAAAAACAAAATTATTTAATTTGAATTAAGTGTAAAATTAAGAAAATAGTATATGTTTCTTGATTGTTAAGTTATGATAAAGCTTTTAAATCAACAATAATTATAAGTTTATCAGAGAATTATAAAACAATTAGTTGTTAGATAATAAAAGCATTTAATGATAAATATAATTATATATAAGAAAGTATTCGGCAGTTTCATGTTTGGTCTTCTAAATTAATGTAATATAATGTATGGAAAACTTTTTACATAAAGTTATAATATCAAAAACAATTTGATCTTGTAAATATTCACATAATACATTTTCAATCATTAAATATTGGTAATTTTAGACTTCAAAATATAATTAATTCAAGCTATTACGGAAACTGAAATTAAAATAATATTTTTATTTTCATTTTATTTTATAAACTATAATTATAATTGATATTTCTTTCTATAATTAAGTTAAACAGATTCGAACACGATTATATTTAAAACATAAAAATTTTGTGGAATACAACATTATACCGTAATAATATAAATATAATACTGTAACAGTAACAATGTAAAGAGAATGAGTGAAATTAATTTAAAAATACTATTTTTTTTAATTATTTTCTTTGCTGTTTATATTACATTACTATTATTAAACTCTTGGATTGATTCTGAAAAATCATAGCTTTGAACTGAGTCTAGTTATATAGTTGCAATGATAGTAATAATTTTTGTAATTATTAAAAAGTTTATGATACTTTTAGTATTTCGTTCATAACATACGTACCTATAGTCTTATAGGAAAGGCATTATTATTTATACAAAACTACATATATGAAACTTGTGGTTCTCCCAGCAGTACTTCTTTAAAATAATTCTTAAAGTAATTCATTAAAAAATACTTATTATTCATTGCAATCATTAAAATAACTTTCTAATATTGATTTAAATTACTAACTTCTCAGAGACTGTTGGATAATTGAAAGGATAAAAGAAAGTATAGAAATCATACATAGGAACTTGAAAATCCAAATAATAAAACTTATAATAATTAAAAGAAATTGGAATGGGAAGCAAAAGAGAGGAGGCTCAACGCATCGAGTTAACTGACCTGCCGAAGGCGGTGACGCTGGCCGGTACGGGGAACGGTAGTCCAAGGCTGAGGCCCCTCAAGCCCAGGTGGGGCGGTGGAGGATGAAGGAAACCGCCTACGGGGCCTCCGGGGCCCACAAGCGGCAATCCGTTGCTGGCACCGTTCTGCGGTGTCGTTGCCGTACCCCCACCACAGGATGGACCTGCGATCCCACCGCTGGCCGTTCCCATGAGGCTAGGATACGTCGGAGGCAAGCTGGCGCAGGCGCCGTTGACAACCGCAGCCGCAGCTGCAGCGGCTGCGGCCCCATTCACTCTCTGAATGGCGCGTCGATGGTGTCGGCGCATACGGCGCTCCCGTCTTCTAGCGTCACGGAGCTCCTCGGAAAGCAGTTCCGCGTGACTGCTGAAGGGTGCGCTCGGAGGTTGCAGCAGCTGTGGTGCGACATCGGTCTGGGCCTCGGTCGAGGCGAATGACCGAACCTGACAATCCGACTGCTGACCATTAACGCTTATTGGGTTGGTATGAGTATTCGATTCCCCCGTAATCTGCAGCTGCACCGATGACTCAACCGCGGGTGACTCTTGTGCCCCCTTCGTCTGTTCAAGATCGCTCGACTCCGCACCGTCCACTCGGACGACGCTTACGGGTCTAGGGGCACTCTCTGACAGCGCCCCAGCCATATTATGACACTGGACATGGATCCTCACGGCCAGGAAACTCTTCCGTTTACTCGACGCCGGTTCTCCAGTACTAGTTGTTTGTCGATCCTTTGTTCAGAGCTAGACGTTTGTCACCGACTCTTTTCCACTGTGACTTGCTCTTCACCTACCCTCTTTTTATTCACTTCTTCTGCGCTCCCGCTTTCTTCTTTGCAGGGGAACCTTCTTTTTCAAAACATTTAATCTAAATTCGACTCTTTTCTATCGTCCTTTGCTACTTTTTCACTACTATTTCTCTGGCTTATCCTCTTTACGGCTGATTGCCTATGATAATTGTCTAAGTGGCTTATTCGAGGACGATTCGAGGATGCCTGTCCTTTTTGAAGTTTTTATGCGCCTTTTCATTAGATCCTCCCGCGTGGATCTCCGTGTATCTTCGTAATCTGCGATTCAAATTTTCCGCCGACGCTTGCGGGAGGCGCGGATGGTGATCATCGCCAGCGCTGCCTACGCAAACCATTGGCCTTCTGTTGGAGCTCCCCGACTAGAAATAGAGCTGTTGAGATTATCGTAATCGTCAGATTCTTCAGTTCCTTCTTCTTTCGGTACAGATCTGCGGCTGCACAAGCAAAAAAAAACAAACCTGATTATTATTTAAACATGCATAAAGGAGAACACCAAAGTGTCTTTATAACAGTGGCGACGGCGATAGCAGCGGCAACTTCCAACTGCTCGTGCAAAACGATTATTTTTCTAAGATATGTATGAGTCAGTAGAAGGATTTATACATACGGCTGGTGTATTATGAAGGTGCGACTCAATTTTTTAATTGACTGAGTTTCTTACATCTCATTGTAAGTGATAGTCTATTTTATATATCGAACAACACTTTTTCTTGTCTCACATTTAGTTTATCAATGCAACCTGCTATTATTATTAAAAATATTAAGTTGCTCTCTTGTTCTTGTTTGGACGGTAAATTCCATTTCTACGGATCAAATTATTGTTTTCTCAAATAAAAAGGTAACAAATACTCCACACGCATTAAAGTTTCTACTTTGTAAATTAAATGATTATTTTCAATCAAGATATATTTATTACATTGGGCACATATAACATTTAATAATTTGAAGTTAACTTAATATTCTGCTTTTTTAGATCATCGAAATATAATTAATTTGATATATATTTTTTTATATTTATGAAATTTATAATGAATTTTGTTTAATAATAAACTTTAGTAATAAACTTATTTTTTGAAACTCATAATTATTATATGATCATTGAAATGAAGTAATGCATGATTGTGTGGCGAGCTCTCGGCTGTAGACTCCGGCTTAACATACCAGTAGTCTCTATTGAGGATAACTACCATTCTAATAATTCCATACTCCCATAATTAGTATGATAGGCTATCCCTGATAACCTTCACAACATTAGCACAGACCACAAAACCAAGCTATATTGCCTTTCCAGAAGTATACACAATCCATTGCTGATCCTTATAAGATCATCTACGACATCGTAGGAGTAATTAACTCGTTGTGATAGAACATAGTTCACACCACCACCAAGGAGTAATTAACTCGCTGTGATAAAACATAGTTCACACTCTCCCATCATAAGTGAATTCAGAACAACAATAGTGTAATAGTCAATACCATCAAAATAAACGATGTTGTAACGAAGATTACACAAACTGTACATCTTTACAACACTTCTACTTAATTCCTTACTTGAGCATCGCTAAGGCGGGCGATAAATAAAGTGAACTATCGAACTTGGCAGTTCGAGCCAGAAAATTAAATACATTTTCGAACATTCAGTATTTTCATGGAAATTGACATAATCATAATTCTTTTATGTAAAAAATTCAAGAAATACACTTTTACCCCTAAGGTGTAAAGAAATATACTTTACACCTATTATATTAATATCTGTTAATATAAGAGTTTTTACTAGTATGTTTTGTAAAAGATACAATAAAATAAATGATATGTAATGAAATAATACTCGTGTACTTTTTATGAAAAATAAAAATAATATCGTTTAAATCTTTTAAACGTAAATAACATTAATTACATTATTAAACTAGGCATATTTCAAATAAGAATCATTTAATTAAAATACTAGATTTTCACATTAAAATCAATTTTATACATAGAAAAAATACCACATAAATTTTGCTTTTGTCATCGATTAATCTACTGGATATTTATGTTTTTTCCAATAATTAAAATATAAAATTTAAACTCAATTACATTAATAATAATTTTAATATTGAAACTGATGTCAATTATAAATTTTTATATAATTATTAAAGTTTAATTTTTAATTAAAAAGGTTCATAATTTAATTAATTATTAAAAGTTTACTTATTTAAATTTTTTCATTAACATTAAATCTATAATTATAAATAATAAATTTTGAAGCCATTTATTTAGTTATTTTTTAATTTTAAAGAATTCTATAATGTTGTCAATATTTTATAGCAAGTATTTTTTATATCATCAGAGAACAAATGTTATTGTTCCTAATAGAAATTAAGCAGATGTTTCGAGTTACATAAATAAAATTTGGATAAAATAGTTTTTCTACAATTATGTATAAAAATTCTCGAACTTCATTAGTAATTTTAAACATTTATTGAAATAATTGAACATATTTCTGATTATTTAAATGTAAAATTGTTTTAAGTAGAATGAAATACCGTTACGAAAATTTATTCAGCAGCTTCAATAATTATACATTAATTGTAAAAAATTATTTTTATAATTTTTTTTATCATAGAAACTAGCATGTAGAAAACTTCGTGAAATAACAATTAAGCTTGGAATATATTTGTATAAACGCTTTTAATTTATGAAAAAAAGAAATTTAATTCAGATAGATTTTTACAAATATTGATTAGTTCTTAACCAACGTTCCCTTGACCACCGGTATGCACAAGAACACTGTTATATTCTGTGCATCTCTGGAAAACCGTTGGCAGGCGAATGACCTTGATTTAATTTAATTTTAATGACTTATAACGGTACATTAGAACTTATTTTAATGTTGTGGCAATCGTAATTGGTAATATATGGATGGGATATCCAAGGATATGGAAAAATTAAGGCAATGACGATGTATTTTCCTAAAGAGAATGAATCCCGATCAGCTTCTATATTTACATAATTCAATTCCAAAAGCAGATTTAAGATAAATTTATATATGCGCAGTGGTAAGATAATAGTACAGGAGGCTGTGTATCTCATAGACTGGCGCGCTCCCATAACTGTATGGCGAGCGTTACGTCATAAATTATCGTCGCCTCTGTTTTGACAAACGGTACTCCCCATCAACACCCCCACCATTTCCACGAACTCTGGTGAAACGAACGTGAGTTGTACAGCGCTAATCGACACCATTGACCATTATTTCCTTTTTCTCAGCTATTTGTGTTCATTAGATGATGGTGTCCGAGGCTGGAGGCGAAGATTTATAATTACGTTATCCGTGTGGACGTGATCAAATTTAAAATTGCAGTTTTCACGATTGCGACGAACAGTCGCACACACATGACATTGTAAATAAGCGCTTCAGCTATTCAAAAAACTTTTTAGTTAATTCATAGAATATAAAAATATCAAGGCCAAACTTGGGCCTACTTTGTTCTACTTTTTATTTTTTTAATGCCCAGATAATTGAGTGAGTGAAATTTACACAACAAGATCTACTTACCAAATTACAAAAAAAACTTAAAATGATGAGGCTATTATAAAATGGTATCAACAAGAATATCTATCAGTTGCAACACTAATTCTTTTTATTATTATTCAGAAGAATTGTTACTATATTCCAAAACAAAAATTATGATTTTTAATTTAGATTCCTTGTTATATTTGTCATTTATAATTATAAGTATAGGAATTAGAAGATACTTTCAATTAAAAAAAGTATGTGAGATATAAAAAAAAATGTCACAGAAACCTTAAATATTACATCACTTAAGGCACTCCAAGAATTGTGCTCAAATTATAAAATTCTTCATATAACATTTAATAAGAAATTTTTTACAATAATTATTTTTAATTCTTTCTTATTTTCAATACCAATCTTGAATGTTCAATTAAAAATTGCATACCTAATATACCTTTTATGAATTTAATTTTATAATTCTAACAAAATGCGCACAATACCATCGTGCTATGAATTTCATTTAAAATGCAAGAGTTGTTTATCGCTACCCAGGTATTAAATTCATTTTTCATAATTTTATATAATCTATATCATTTACTAAAATTAATATTAGTACAATAAAATAATTTCATAAATTAGTACAGTAAATGTAAAGACTACTACTAATAATATTCGTAATATTAACAATTAAAAATTCTTGTAATAGTTATTGTAATAATATACAAATAATCTTCTAATTGGAATCAGATTAAATATTTAAAAATTGTAACTTATTTAAAATATAATTTTAACTTCATAATAACTGTTTAAGTATAATAAAAGTAAATTTTTAAACTAATTTTATTATTAGTTTGTAATTTTTAAACAGCTTTTATATAAAATCAAATATTCTTTATTGCACTTGTTTAGTAAAATTTGATTTCTGGAAAATAACATCTGACACGGGCAAATAATTTTATAAGCAGTTTACGCTTAAATGTTATTAAATTATAACGTGCATTAAATATTAGCAGATTATAGAACAATGAGTATAAAGAGTATAATGCAGTATTTTAAACATATAATATTTACAAGTATAAAAACGGATCAAAATGCTTGTGTAAATGCTTAAATTATTTATAATTTTAATGTAATTAATTGATGTGATTGAAACATTTAAATACTTAATACAGCTATTTGAAATAATTGAAATTAATTGGTAACAAGTAAATTGTGAAAAACGTTTATTTTGAGTGCCTACATTATTTGTTAATTCTTATAACTATACATGTACAATTTTGTTTTATTACTACAATATGTTTTATGAAGGTGGATATTTATGAAAATACTCCTTATATACAGTAAGCCTGGCTCATAATCTGTTATTATATTGCCTAAAGCCCTACTGTATACCATTATAAAGCAGCATCGTCAATAAGCCATTTTGTTTGTGTATTTGTTTTAGTGTATCAGTGCAAAATGGGTCATGATTATCAATGTGCATGTTCAAATTTTGACTTTTTGTCAGTCAAGATTAAATTTTCCACTGTAAAAATCATAAATAATAAAATAAAAAATAAACATGTTATTAAATCGAAGTTGATGCGATTTTGTTTGATAATTCATTTTTTTTTTATACGTAATTTCTTTAACATTGATTTATGTTTTTGAAATTCATGAGTTCAACATTTATTTTGAAACAAACATTTTTTAGTGAGCTGCGTTTTATAGTTCTTTTAATCCTAGAGAAAATATAGAGAAAAGTCTCTTCTCTTTAATACACAGACATTAGAGTTTTCATGTTTCAAAAATGTTTAAAAAATTCGAAATGTGATGTAATTGAAATAATTTTTTAAGTTTAAAATCATATGTATAATAACATTGTAGACATCATCAGTATCATGAACAACAATAATAATAGAAACAATATATTACATGAAAATATGCATATCTAACATTAAAAAATAGTATATTTTTCATATATTATTGTATTCTAATCCTTATCCAGATATATGTAATTGATGCTTGATAAATATCATTGCTTGCTTATTGCTGACAATTTCTATTACAAAAATTTGTTCATTTAAAATAATTTAAAAAGTTGATTTATTGTATCTATTATTCATAAATAGTGCTTTCAATTAAAACAATCAAAAGATATCGACAATTTCTTGAAAATTCGTTTAAACATAGGTATGGAGTAGAAGATAGCTAAGTAGTTTAGTGAAGTAGATTAGCTATCAAATTATGAGATATAAGCAATTAATTATATCTGATAATACCAATTATAACTTATAACACCGATAATAGCCATTCAGCTGATTCGTTATTTATGAATACAACGAAATGTTATCGAAACATGAAAAAAATATAACTTATGTGCTTTTCATTTATAAAAAATATTTGCTTTAATGTAATAAAGTTGATATATTAATATTTGAATTCTAATTAATATAATTTTAATTTTTTCTTTGTTTTGTAGTTTAACTTATAATAAAAAATGTTATTTATCATATTTGTTTCAATTTGTATATATTGTATATCTTGTTATATATTCTATAAATGTATGTATTGTTCAATATTTAACTGCAGTTGTATTTAATAGCAAAGTTATTTAAACCAAAATGATTATGTTAAGCAATAATTCGTAAAAGCATGTTTGTGTATATATATGTAATTTATATTTTATCTTTTTAGATTAAGTAATTTGTGAACCAACTTTGAGCAGAATTCTCACAATTTGATGGCACGTCACTTTTGCATTATTTTTCGGACTAATTGAATAAATAAAAAAAAAATGAGAGTACTCAATGTAATATGTGTATAATGTGTATCGATGTGTACCGATGTATATGATGTACAAGCTGAACATTTTATTTCATTTTAATAACTAAATGTATGATTCTTGGATATCAATTGAAATTAAAAGGTAGAATTGTACTGCTATTAATACCACTTACCACTACTACATTAACATAATAATTTTAGGTTCTAAGCATGTTACGAAATACAGCAGGTGAAAAATGGGACGAGATTAGCTAGTTACGAATGTACAATTAATCAATGTAAAAATTGGTGGCCATATTTACTAGACATATTATTTTGATATATTAATAATATTAGATTTATTAAATTAATATAATTTATTTTTCATATTCGCTTGCAACTTTACTGTGTTTTAATTATAAGTTATATTGCGAACAAGATTAATTTTTCTTAAACAATGACAAAACTTATTACCATATCTATAATGGTATATAATGAAGCAAAGTAATCCATTATTGTGGCTCAAAAATCAGAACTTAATACATAAAAATTACTGACGGTATCGTAATTGGTAGGCTTACCACGAAATCGAAAAATTACTGACGGTATCGTAATTGGTAGGCTTACCACGAAATAGAAGATAATAATAAATAGAAGATAACAACGATCTAGTCATTTTCTCGAAGGCTTGCTTGTAATACCTCATTATACCCCAGTTTTACAAAGCAGAAAAGAAAAAGGAGCGCGCAACGGGAAAGCAGGTCGAATCAGGACGAGTGTCGACGGGGGGCCAAAGTGATCGCGCGACTTTAATACAGCAAGAAAACGTGTATTGCTGAAAAAAATCTGACTCGTGTGTGATTGCTTAGATCGGCTAAGCAATACAACATCTTCATTAACATGGTTAATTGTAGCAACCGTAGACCAAATAAATCCAGGGGGTACAAGACGCTTTAGAAAATGATTTCGGATTTCAGCTGGACGTGCGGAACAAAAGCTCTGAATACGCTTGGCCGTTCAAAAGTGTTGACTTGCTGCTTTTTCCTTTGATTCATCATGCATTTTCAACGACAGAGAGACGAAAAAGTAAACGGTAAATAGGTCCGCTCTTTTTCCTTTTCTCGTCTGATCAGCTAACGAAAAGCGCCCGGTCGACTTTCACTCGCAGTCTCCACTGCCAGCATTTCATTCGTACGTATAACAAATACCTCCGCAGCCAGGGAGAAAGAGAATGGAGTAGGAAAGGCTGGGAAAGGGAACGGGGAGGGGAGAGCAGTGGCCTCGACGACCGCGAGTCTCTCTCTCACGCCGACATTCGTGGCAAAAACAAAGTTATAACACCATCGAGCGTACGAGTAAAAACCGCGTGAATTAATGCGATATTCGGGCTCCATCGGTGAAATTATTATCTTAAGCCGATACTTGTCCGATTACTCCTCCGTAAAAGTTTGTTAAAAATTTTTCGCTAAAGTAGGTACTACCATACTTGTACCTCCATTTTGCCTCTATCTTAATTGGTACAGGCGAATTTTCATCGGCTCATTAGTGCGAGGCCTTCGTAGGACTAATCAGAAACCCAGATCATCGTGTCCTTATTTAGTTTGCTAGTCCCCATTGCTCACATCGCGCATCCATTCGTATAATTTATATTTTTACTCAAACATAATGTTCAATTTCCATGAAATGTATTTCATAGTTGGTTTCCTTTTGCGGTAGCTGTGAAACTGTTCTGGATTTATTAATGCATTTATAATTCCATTATATTGCCAAAATTACACTTGCACTGTAAATTATTTTATTTTCATTACCTATTCATCAAATTTAAATATAATATTTTTAATTATACTAATAAGTATATACTAAATTGTTCATGTTTTGAGTATGGTACAGTTTACTTTTCTACATCATCGCTTTGTTTCATAAATCATGTTTATTACAATAATAACTTAACCGTCTCGATTTTGTGCATCGCGTTAATATAACGTATGAAAATTTCGTTATTAACGGTACCAGATGACAATTCAGTAAACTTATTAAGACAAAATAATTTGGTAATATTTATTGTCACGTAATCTAAGGCTGCAAATAAAATTTCGAGAACATGCACTATCAATAACCTACTTGTGCAAACTAGGATTGTGAGAATATTTTGGCAAAATTTTTTTAACGCAAAGCTACAAGAATAACACTTAAAGCGACAAATAACAATTGATTATGAACATTCATTTTATTTACACTTTTCTACTTAAAAATATTAATTTTAGGTAAATGGAGTAATTATTACATTAGTTTTCCATCAAAATACTAGGTTAAGTTTTATTAATTTATCGCTAGCTCTTCTCAATTGTGAGTTATATAAAAAATTAAATAAAAAAGTCAAGAGATATTACAAGGTTGTAACATACGGATAGTCGTTTTCACTTAAAATTTATTTAAACGATTTACAAATACTATTTAAGAAATTGTTTTCCAAACTAACATCGAATATAGTTTAATTTTAATCTTAAGTCTTATTAGTAAAATAAACTACCACTCTTCGCGAGTACTTATAGTACTATATTATTAATGAATAAAAATGTCTTTCGTTTTTCTGTAATTGTCGATTACAAATTGAGAAGGAAAGGCTGTTGTTTATGAAAATCGTCACAAGGGCACAATACAAATGTGATATTGTATGCAGATATTATTAATTGGAAGTAGTAACAGGCGATTGCATATACAGTGATGAAATGATGTAATTTTTACAATTAACGGTGTATAACGAAACGAGTAAAAATTCACAAGACTGTTTGATTGTTTGATCATTTAGTTGTAAATTCTTAGTGGTGAAATGTTATTCACGGAAAGATACAATATTTTAATAAAACTGTATAGCCAGTACAATTTTATCCGATTAAAAGGTTTAAGTTTTATACAAATTTATTATTATGTACAAGTAAATAAGTATTAAGACAAATTCTTATGGTGTACGGTATACGCAAATAGAAAAGAATCGAAGGAATCTATATAACTGACAAAGAGAAAAGATATATTTACAGTCTTAACCTCGGCAGCCACCTCGGCCCATCTAGTTAGACAGACAACACTCGAGAACAGGAGATTACAACGGTAGTGGTGGTGATGGTGGTGATGGTGGTGATGGTGGTGGTGGTGATGGTGGTGGTGGTGGTGGTGATGGTGGTGGTGGTGGTGGTGGTGGTGATGGTGGTGGTAGTGGTGGTGGTGGTGGTGGTGGTAGTGCTGGTGGTGGTGGTGGTGGCGGATGAAGGGGCTAGGGTAAGGTGCCAGGTGTAGGGCAATCGGATATGCGGCTCGGAGCTACCGCACTCTCCGAGTACTTACTCTTGAACGACTGGATGCTTTGGGTTGCCTGGCAGAGCGGACCCAAAGGGTCCTGATTGGCGATCCCTTGGACTTGTCTATTCCGTTCACCTTTATTGACGCAACGCGACGGGACGCTCCTCAGTGCCCGCACACACTTACACCTTGGTAAAACACATGCGCGCGCTCGTGTGCTCACTGGCGAAGGGTAGCAAGCACAAGTTGAATCTCTATCACAAACACCATCGAACCAAGAATCGAACGAAGCGCGACGTCGTCGGTCAACTGGGAACATTGAAAGCTGTCGAGAATCGCGGCAGCCATTCGAGGACCGAGTGCCGAGTGACGGGAGAATCTGAACGCATGCGCACGCGGCCCCTCCTCGAACGTCGGCGGCGCGTTCTCTAACGGTTAACGAGCATCGAGCCTCCGTTGCGGTGGCAGCGATAGTGGCGGCGGCGGTGATTACGACTCTTTTCGGGGCTTGCGTCACGGCGGGTGGAGGCGGCCTTCGGCCATTTCAAATCGCCTCATTGATTCCTTCGCCGACCCCAGGAGGTCGGCCGTGACGCCGTTAGCCAGCGTGCGCGTGGTGACGAGGTCGATTCATCCCCACCTGGCATTATCGAGAAAAGTGTTATCGCGTGACGTAGGGTACAGAAATGGTCATTCAAGAGAGAACAACCATTCATATAGTAGTCAAAGATCGGATCGGTGGGTGTTGTATACTTTCGATCAAATCACCTCCATGATAGAGACTGGGTTGACTTGCATGTGATCAGCCGAGGAAGCTACTTTTAACTCTCCATTTATTTCTATCGGATTAAACAGCTTCAATTACTGTTCTTTCGTACAAACGATTATTCGATACGCCTCCACCATCGCCATTTTCTAATCTGCACTTGGCGGTTAACTTTCACAGGATATATATGCACAAGACGAGCAACATTCTCGCTTTAAAACCATTCGTCACTTTATTTTGCTTTTATCGTCTTTCATTACTCCACAAATCTAATGACAATGTCAGAAACATCGTAACGTCTTATTAACATTTGACAATTTATTATGCCTTCCTTGTCTTGTTTGAAAAGCTTAAGAGCTCTGAAAACAAATTTCCAATTTTCTTCCGCATTATGAACTCTATGAAACCTCTTATGCGTAAGAATTCATTTTACCACTATGAGCTAAATTTGACAAAGTAACTTACAAGAAATGCAACAATTAATTACTAAATAATTGTAATTCAGAATCATGTATATACTGAAAAATTATATAATAATAGTATAACTCATAATATTAAATTCATAATCTTTAAAATATTATAGTTACTTTCGGAATTTCGGGAGATCTAATATCACGATTACTTTAATTCTATTGATTATATCTATAAGAAAGTACATATGTAATTTTTATAACAATAGATATCTACAATTTTACATTTTAACAAAGGTTTCTAGTTTAAAAAGTTGAAGATCCCCAAAAAATAATTATATTTATTCATATTTACTTTGTATTAATTTGAATTTGTAAGAAGAAAATTATAAAAAAATAATGAAAATAGAATCCCATCAATTTGTACATAATAAAATATATTGAAATTTATTGCATTGATTGCTTTTGTATGACGCAGTTTAATTTTTTTTTAATAAATAAAGAAATAAAAATGGTTTTAAAAAATCATCATTCGTTGTATCTTATTAGGATTAATAATTAAAAAACCTAATTTCATCATTCTTAATAAGAAATATGAAATACAAACTATTCTATTACGATTTTTCATTATGCAATTAGATATAATATTTATTTATATTAATTATTATGAAGAAAATAATTTCTTTTCTACTTTAAACTGTTAGATGATTTTATTTTAATAGTTATTATGTAATGTTAACAATAAATAAAAATAAATAAACTTACAGTTTAATGATATAATCTTTTCGTTTGAGCCTCGCTTACTATTTATTTTAAAGAAAAATATGTAATTTGCTTGTAGAAAGCAAATATGATTAGGAAATTTTGGGGCACTACAAAAACAATATTAAACTCAATATTTATAAGAAAGTTCGTATGATTTTTAAAAGTTCACATTCTTCATCAAAATTAATGAATCGTCAAAAGAAATTTTTTTTGTAAACGAGGTGTGATATTAATAATATTGTTTAGTAATAATATGCTGGATGATATTTTTCAGTAGAGATTTTGTAATATATTAATGGAACATTTAATTAGTGTCCTTCGCAGCAATTTTTTAAGCACGATGAAAATCGAATCTACAATAAAAATTGAACGCAGCGATAAAAATCAATCGATTACAGTAGCAATTTTCTTTAACATTTTGACAATCAGTAACCATGTGATTATTCTTAGATAATTTTCTCCAATCCAGTTCGCAAAGACTGAGAGATAGTTGACACACTTAGTTGTCGAATTCCAACTTAAAGCGCAATTTCCTTCCTCTCGTTTTAATAATTACATTTTCGTCCTTAGACTTGGCTAATCGTGCTTTCCGTTACTCTAAGGAGATCCCGGAAGATGTCATAGCATTCTTGTATTTTAAAAAGCGCTCATTGAGGATGCGGAGAAATGGGAACAATCGCATTGAAATTGAATGAATTGTCTTTTCAACCGTTTGAATGTTATATGAGTACTTCTGAGTGCTGTATTGAATTTTGTAATCCTGTATCCTGTTTGCATTATATAATTACTTCTCACAATGCAATAAATTAAATTAAATTTTTTATTTAATTCTAGTACACTATTAGTGAAATAAGTACTGTTCCTAAATAAAATACATGCAGAAATACGACTATTATTATTATTTAAATGTGAAAATTGATATTTTTATATTGTCATTTATGTTAACTATTTTTTATTATTCTTCTCATCTTAACAAATATAAATTAAAACAACTTAATATGTAGATACAACAAACAATGGTTTTTAAGTTATATCTTACTATAATTTATACTATAATTATATTTATCTTATGAAATTTATATAAAGTGATATTTATAAACTATGCAAATAATATTTGGGATGGATTAATAAAATATTTTGTATAATTCATTGATACTTATGTTTTGAAAAATCAATACTTCCCGATATTTAACAACAATTCTGATATAGTATCTATCAACAGTATTATTTAGATTCAATTCAAATCATATATTCCAAATATAACGCAATTTTAACAATGCAAGTTGTTATTCACTTGTTTTTAATATTGTTTAAAAAATCATAGTAATTTAATTACGCATCAAAATAATTAAATTATAAATGAATAAATAATGTTTTACTAAAATATTGAATATTTAAAATAAGTTTTAAACTAAATAGAACGTAAAAATTTATTTATCTTTCTTAACAATAAGTAAAAAGCGACTAAATTGATAATAATTTGTATGTGTAATAATGAAGTACAAGAAAATTTAAGATAATGTTTTAAAATAATTATATTTTCCAAGTATAATAATTAATAAAGTGTGACGGAATTAAATATAAGTAAAATATTCTATAGTTTATTGTCCATACAAAAAAAATATTCACAGAAAAACAAAAATTATAAGAATAATTCAATAATTGTAATTTGAATAATTAATTTAGATAGTTTTTTCAATTTAATTTTTGATTATCTTTAATATTTTTATTGAAGCATAGGTTCTTAAAAAAAAAACTATCCCAGTACAAAGTAAAAAAAAATAATTCCGTTTATTTATGCAAACTTTCAGTGATATTAATTTATACACTAATAGTTATAAAAATTTCAAAATAATTAAAATTTTTTTCTTAAAAATTGATATTGTAAGATTCGGTCAATTAATAAATAAAACAGTTATATAAATTGTTGGAATCAATGCTTGGTAATATGATTATTTGAAAGTTATTTTTTTTAATTCTAATTTTTTAACTATAAAAAACTTAATTGAAAATAGAAATAAGTATGGAAAAATCAATATATTTGAAAATGTTAAAGCAATACAAGTGTATTAAGAGAAAATAAACATAATTACAACAATATTTTAAATCACTGATTTTTAAATTATTTCTATTAATATCGAATATTTTTCATAGACTATCTATGTTTGTAATTTTAACGACGTAAAGAAAATATAACATAATATTATATAACATCAATATAACATGATTATTTACAAAACACAAGTAGAAGTAACAATAAATGAAACTAAAATATCTATAATGTAAAACGCATCCTATGTTTTTCTCAGTTTCAATTTCAGTGAATTTGTAACATCTCTGCTATTTTTATTGCACGTTGTTAATAAGATTTTCATTCGCGTTTGCAATGTTATATACGTTACTCAAAAAAGCCATACTTGAGATTATTGTTCTTAAAACCATAATAAATAAATTTCAATAAATAAATTGAAACGTTTTTACACAATACAGAAGACATTAAATTATATGAAATTTAGTTGTTCATTTTGAGTAAAATTATAATCGACACAATTAAATATGTTATTCTCATAAATCTATATGTAAACAAGTCCAAATTATAAAAATAATTTAGAAAAATTATAGCATTATAAAACATTACATTCCAAACTCTATTTTTTTAACTAAACTAATATTGCAATAATAACATAAATATGATTTTCAAAATATGTACATTTTCTTTCTAAGAACGATAGTTACAATAAAAAGATGATTACAATAATGAATTATAAAAACACCTATTTTGAAAAAACATGTTAAATTACATGTACAAATAAAACATGTTTTATTAATAAAGTATTAATAAATACGATTTACATGAACATAATAGAAATATAGACGATGTCATTTCCTAAGTGGGCTACTTCCTCATCATCTCTTAAAAATATTTTTGTATATTTTTTATGACAAAGAGATTCATTAATACTAGTATTTGTATTATTATATTATTATTATTAAATGTATTTATTCACACCACTCATATTTACTAAAAATATTTATTATTACACATATTTTGGTATAAATGAAAATTAAATTTATAATAATCATTATGAAAATAATAATACATCAAAATCGTAGTAAACATCATTTTTTTGTATTACACAAGTGCTTATTTATATATGTATATATTTATAAAGTTGATTCTATAACTCTTAATATATAAATGAATTATTTTTTTTATAAATTCAATAACAATTTGATTTAAAATTATAAATAGATAAGC